CTGCCCCTCAGCCACCCCTCAGCCCCGGGCCTGCAGGTCACCGCCGGGGGGGGGGGGGGGGGCCAGTACAGGTCCCTGTGGCAACACGTCTGCAAAGGGCTCAGCAGTTCACTAGGCCATGCTCTCTGCTTCGGGGCTATTTGAATATTTATGTGATAAATGTCTAAAAAGAAGTGATGAAAAAGTAGACATGAAACAAACACCATCCAAAATGTAATAAGACAGCTCAGTGTCTGCCTGCAGACCAAAAGGGTCCCAGGTTCGATTCTGGTCCAGGACACGTGCCTGGGTTGTGGGCTCAGTCCCCAGTGGGGGGCGAGCAGGAGGCAGCCGGTTGATGACTCTCTCATCACAGATGTTTCTCTCTTTCTCTCCCTCCCTCTCCTCCTCTCTAAAAAACATAAAACAAACAAACAAAAGACCAACAAAATGGAACGAGACGGCAACCAGCTGGGGTGCCGGCGCTCAGTGCCCTCCTTCCGGGCGACCAGCCGGCACGGCTTCCCTGCGTTCCCGTCCCCGGGAGCTCAGCCCGCCCCGGAGCGGCTTTGTTCTGCCACTTCCTTCCTCTGACGGGGCCATGCCCGCAGCGGGGCAGCAGGCGGACCAGGGGCGAGTGAGGGGCAGTGAGGCCTCCGGGTGCCTGCGGGGGCGGGGCCTGCCACCGGCCTCACCTGGCGTCGGGCTGCAGCGTCCCCGAGATGCGGTCGTCCTTGGGCAGCACGTGCCCACAGGGGCTGCGGGCAGACACGGGCCCGGGGCGCTGCACGGCCACCTCCAGCTCCGCCCACTGCTCGGGCACCTGGGGGACAGGACAGTGAGGGCGTGCCCCCCCCCCCCCAGGCGCAGCTGCGGGCGGTGCCGGCTCTGACCTGGGGCTCCACGCGCAGCAGCAGGTCGTACTCCATGGCTCTGGGCACCGAGCTCACGAGGAAGTCCAGCGTCTGGCCTGCCCGCAGCCTCGCGAAGCCCAGGCCCGTCCAGGAGGCGGCTCCCCCGGGCACGGCCAGGCGCTCCACCACAGCCACCTGCGGGAGACGCTGTGGGCTCGCCTCTGCCCAGCCCGGCGCCCGCCCCCAGCAGGCCCTGCCCAAGGCCGACCCAGCCGCACAGGCACCAGCGCCCGCCTCTCGGGTCCTGCCCCCACTGCCCCTACCTGGCCCCGCGTGTCCTCAGCCTCCCACGCCAGGTGGTCCAGGAAGGGCCGGAAGTAGCCAGGTTGCACCTGGTCACAGCGGCGCCCCACCATGTGGGGGCGGCAGTGGCACTGGCCCGTGGCCTCGCTGCACCTACCGAGCACGGCCGTTAGAGCCCTCTCTCTGGGACCCCCCCCCCCCGCCCTAAACCAGCACTCACTGAGGGTCCGAGGCGCCGCCCACGTCGCAGTCACAGGGCCGGCAGCCCAGCGTGTCGTGGCTCAGGCCCCAGTGGCCAGGCTGGGGGAGAGGAGGTTGCTGGGGGCGGGAAACGAACCCCCTCGCCACCCCCCGATTCCAATGATGGCTCTCAGCTCCCCCCTCTTAGCCAGGACCCTCTTACGCCCCCCAGTGGGCACGGACACCACCCCTTCACCCCTGCCCGAGGCTGAGTGCTGATGCCCGGCCCCAGCCCCCTCAGTCGCACCAGGCAGCGGGTGCAGCCCTGTCCGGTCACGAGGCGCTTGCAGAAGCAGGTTCCACTCTCGGGGTCGCACGGGGTGTTCCCAGGCACTGTGCCCCGGGCATCACACTGACATCCTGCGGGAGGGAGACGTCACACGCTGGGAGCTGGGAGCACTGTGTTTGGGGGTCTAGAGTAAGGTCCAGGGTTAAGGGCAGCCTGCGCAGGGCAGGGAGCACGTACGCTGGCAGCCCACGGGGTCGCTGGCGCTGAGCCCGAAGTAGCCGTCCCGGCACTGCTGGCAGCGGGGGCCCACCACGTGGTCTTTGCAGCGACACTGGCCCGCGACCAGCCCCAGTGCGGGGTCGTCATGGGGATCACAGCGCCCACCGTCTCGGGAGCCCATGGGGTCACAATCACAGGCTGAGGGCAAAGGAGGGCAAGGTCACCCTCTCCACACCTCCCCCGCCCCCCAGTTCCCAGCCTGGCTTCACCTATGCCCCCCACCCTGCCACCTGACAGCAGCCCAGCTCCCCGGCTCCCACCCGGCACCGTGGACCCCCCCCCCCCCCCCCCCCCCCCCGCTCAGCCCCCCTCACGGCGGCACGCGGCCGGGTCCCGCAGGTCCTTGGCCGGGTCTCGGTAGAAGAAGGGCCGGCAGAGCTCGCAGTGGTGCCCCGCGGTGTTGTGCTGGCATCCGTCGCACACGCCTCCACTCACGTTGCCAGAGGCCAGGTACACGGCCATGTCGAAGTGGCAGCTGTGGGTGTGCCCGTGGCACTCGCACTCTTGGGGGAGGGGAGGAGAGGGCAGGAGGGACCATGTCCCACGTGTAAGGGCATAAGAGGCTCTCGTGGTGCCACCTCGGTCCCTCCCAAGGCCGGGGGCGAGGGGCACGAAGGCCTTGGCACCACACGGGGTCCCTGCCCCGAGCAGATGGCCAGGAGGGCGAGAGAGTCCTGGGCATCAGGCTGGGCACCTCGCACACCATCCCCACCGGCTCTGGGTAGAGCTGCCAGGCCGCGGCCGGGCTTCCACTCACTCTTGCAGGCGTGGCTGTGGCCGTCCTCGGCCGGGCGCCAGGGCAGGTCGTGATGGAAGTCCTGACACTGCTCACAGTTGAGGCCGCGCGTGTTGTGTTTGCAGGTGCAGGCGCCGTGGACCTGGAGGGAGGCCGCCACGGTGGGCACCGTCCAGCCGTGCCCGCCCCCGCCCCCGCCCGCCCGCCCGCCTGCTCACCATGCCCTCCGTGTGGGCCTGTGCCCCCGGGGCGGGCGCGCACTGCGAGGCGTGCCCGTAGCAGAAGCAGTTGCCGCGCACCACCAGCTCGTAGAGCGCGTAGTAGTACTTCTCCCGGATCTCGCGCCGCGGGTCCAGCAGGTTGTCGCCCAGCGTGTGCAGCCGCGTCAGGTTCACCCGCAGGTTGGTGATCTTCAGCAGGTCTGGGGGCAGAGGGCGGGCCGCTGGCCAGGCAGGCTTTCCCTCCCGACTCCCCGGGCGGCGGCCAGGGTCACCTGGGGAGACCTCCCGTCTGCTGTCTCGGAGCTAAATCTGACTTGGCACCTGGCCTGGAAGCACCCAGAATAGCCACCGAGGCCCCACAGCCCCAGCGGGCGCAGCGTGCCAGCCTGGGGAGCACTCACTCTGGATGTGCGGGCTGTAGGGGTCCGGGACGGGGATGGCAGGGTCCAGCACTCTGTAGATGACCTGGAGGGCGCAGGGACATCAGGGAGGCTGACCTGCCTCCGCCCCCCGCCCCCAGCCCCAGCCCCAGCCGGCCCCGTCGCACCTCGCCTTCCGTGGACGGCTCGATCTCCGAGTAGCGTGACTCACAGACCACGTCGTCCCAGCGCCGCGGGGGGGCCAGCGGGACTCCGGGGAAGTCGGCGGCGCAGTCGTAGGAGAAGTAGCGGTACACGTGCCAGGTGCGCCCGAAGTCTGCCGAGCGCTCCACCAGCATGGCGGCCGGGCGGAACGTCTGGGGGCGGGGGTGGTATGGCTGGTCAGAGGGCCAGCACCCGGGTCCGGCCCAGGCCCATCCAGAGCCCTGCCCGCCTGGGCCCTGCCCTCACGCAGCCCACAGGCAGGTGGGGAAGACCAGGGGGAGCCACGCCATGACCAGGGAGGGTACCACCGTTAGGGGATCGGCCCAGGGGTCGTGGGGCCCAGGGAGGAGCGCCAGGCCAGCCTGGGCTCAGGGCAGCGTGGAGGCGGGAGGCAATGGGAGGCCTGAAGGGAAGGGGCCGCCCACGCAGCAGCTGAGCTCAGGGGGCTGAGGGCGGGCACTCTGCTTGGGGGCCTTCGAAGGCGAGCTAAGCAGGGTTCTAGCAGGTTCCCAGGCACCTTGAAGGTCATGATGAGGTGCGTGAAATGGAACTCAGCCTCCAAGTCCAGCTGGATGGTGACCGCAGGGACACCTGGGGCAGGAGGCGGAGGTCAGGGCCAAGGCCACCGGTGGGCAGCCCCGCTCACTCTGTGCCCGTCCGCGGCCTCACCATTCTCTGACTGCCACCAGGCGGCCCGGCGCTGCGGTGCAAAGCTGGTAACCACGTTCTGGATGCGGTGGCTGCTTGGGTTGTCTCTAGCGGAGTAGGGGTGCCGGGAGTCACACAGGAAGCACTTCTTCTCATCCTGAGTTGGGTCAGGGTCAGGGTCAGGGTCAGGGTCGCACGGGAGCCAGCCCCATGGGACTCGGCCCCCAGCCCTCGCCCAGCGGCACCTGCAGGTGACTGACGATGCAGTAGGGCTGGGGGCCCTGCAAGCCGCAGGTGGAGGAGGCCGTCAGCCTGTCTGCTCGGCCCACCAGCAGGTCCCCGGTGGCAGGGTAGCAGCTTCCCCGCGAGCAGCCCGGCACGTCCGGCACCGGGGCCTGGGCCAGGGAGGTGGCCAGCACTGGGAACAGGAGTCAGCCTGTTGGACGGTGCTCCCCAGGCGGTGGCCCCAAGGCTGGCTCCCCCCAGCCCCGCCATCCCATCCCCAAACCCCAGCCTTCACCGGCCTTCTCACCGCTCAGCAGCAGGCCCACAACGAGCTCCCAGGGCCCCGGCTGTCCCCGCGGGTCCCTCCCTCGGCTCCCGGCGGCCCACTCCATCCTGGAGGGCAGGGGAGTAGGTATGAGAGGTCTGGGGCCATGCCCGCCGCACCCTCCCCCGGGGTGCCTTGCTGACCCTGCCCGTGAGGGTCCCGGCTGAGTTTCCACTCGGTCAGGTCCGGAGGTCCCTCCACTTGGCTGGGAGTCTGGCGACTTTGAGCAAAGTTGGGAACCGTGCAGAAGGAAAGCACGGAGTGGATCTCGGGCAGGATCACAATCTCAGGCAGAGATTCCCGCCCACCCCCCTCTGAAAAAGACCCTCATTCTAGAAACCAGACCAAGGTCAGCTCAGCTGCAAATTTTTATTGAGTCCTGATGCCCAGACCTCGGCAGAGCAAGGGGAAAGAGGGGGGCTGGGGGCTCCAGGCCACCGTGGTCAGGGGGTGCACTGAATGAGGGCCACGGCATGAGCCAAGGCTAGGAGTCTGGTCTGTGAGACTTCAAACGGCCCCTGGAACCTGGCCTTTGCCCTCAGGGTCATGGTCAACAGCAACTAGGACTTCAGATCCAGGGCTCAGCATCCTCAGGGAGCGGGAGGGCACGCACAAGGGCGGCAGCTCCAGGAGGGAGGGGGATGGGAGAGGCTGCCCGCTGCCCGAGGCACGGAAGCACAGTCCCGTGCGGGCATGGAATGGGTGCTGGGTGGCCACAACAGACCAAACGGAGCAGCAAGCGGATCCGGATCTTATGCCGTATCCGCTCCGGATCTTCCAGCTCTCCCTGAATTCCGGCTGGAATGCGCTGTGAGCTGCCCCACCCAGGCTCCAGGGACCAGGCTGGGACCTCAGCTCACTGGGTGGCTCTGAGGGGCCAGATGGGGGTGGGCCGTGGGGGCCGGGGAGAACACCGGAGCTGGGGACCCAAGAAAGAAAGCTGGGTTCTGCAGGGGGGCCCCCAGGCTTTCCAAGGAGGCCAGTCAATCCAGAGCAGGGGTCTCCCATCTCCCTGCAGGCCCCCCCCCAGTCAACCTGGGAACCAGGGATCTGTCCGGGTCAGGGGCCTGATGGCCTCGGGGATTTCACATGATCTCAGCTTTCTCCCAGGCAGAGGCCCAGGAGCACGCGGGGTCACATGAGGGTCACCCAGTGGAGTCTGCAGTCCCTTAAGGTCAGGAGATGCCTGGGCCCTGAGTCACCGGCAGGCCCAGAGCCCCTCTCCTTGGCGCCCACAGGAGTCAGCAGGTGGCGTGGGCCGTGGCCGGCAGCTGCAGGTGCCCCAGTGGCGCGGCTGCCCGCTGCTCCAGGGCCCGCAGCATGGCCAGCTCCTGCCCAGGGTCTGCTCATTCCGCACCAGGCGGGACTCCAGACCTGGGGACGAGACCTCTGAGCCAGGTGACCCCTGGCCCTGACCTCCAACTCTGCCCCTCTCTGCCATGATCCTGACTATGGCCCCATCCCTAAGAAGTCTAACCCTAGTCTGCATTCGACCTCCAGTTCTGAACTTTGACCCAGTCCGCATCACTAGATGAATCCGATCTGACCCCGACTCGGCTCTGGCCCCACCCACCATGGCCAGACACGCACCCTCCAGGCGGCTCCAGCGGTCCTGCACCCACTTCAGCAGCTCCTGGGCCTCCGCTTGAGTCCGCCGCACCCTCTCCCCTGCGTCCCGCACCGCGGCCACCAGGCCCCAGGCGCAGGGAGTTGTAAAGCAGAGACCTTACCTCAGCCCAGCGCAGCCCAGTCCCAGCCCAAACCCCACTTCACACTGTGCCGGGGGTCCTTGGCACCCCAATGTCCACTGCCCCCATCTCACCTTGCCCAGGCCCCCCGCCAAGCCCAGGGCACGTGCTGCCTGCTCTTCTGCCTCCTGGGCCTGCCGCTGGCACAGGGCCACCTGGGTCCTGAGAGCCACAGCTGCACTGGACGGAAGCCCCAGGTCCAGGCTCACATCCGCTGCCAGTGTCACCTGGGCCAGGCGCCCTGCCACCTGCGGGTCAGGGGGTCACAGGGAGGTCACAGCAGGGCAGCCCCTCAGTGGAGTTTCCAGGGTCAGGGTGTCTGGTAGCTTCATGGTATCATGCGGGTCAAGGACCTTGGGGGGACGGGGACCAGTGACCCCTGAACCAGGGGTCAGAGGGGTGCGGTGGGTGTCACCTCCTGTGCACTGGCCTCCAGGCCTCCAAGCGTCTGTCTGGCCACCTGCAGCCCTTGCTCTGCAGCCCAGGTCTGAGCTCTCGCCTCCGCCAGCACCCCCTGAGCGTGCAGCGCTCGGCCCTGGGCCCGGGCTGTCCCTGCCCTGAAAGGTGCAGGCAGTCAGGGCAGCCCTGCCCCCTCCCCGGCCTCCACCTCCAGCTCCCGCCCTCACCTGCTCTGCTGTGCCCGGTGCAGGACACAGTCAGCCTTGAGCAGCCCCTGGCCTCCAGAGCCCGGGGCGGGGAGGGCCCTCTGGACCTGAGCCAGCAAGAGGGCGATGCCCGCTGCGCCTCCCTGGGGGCGACTCTGCCTCTGGCATGACTGCAGAGTGTGCTGGAGGCTTACAACAGGCAGTGACCTTTGCAGGAATTCTGTGAATCAGTGTTAAATGTCGGGCAGCCCAGCGGGTGGCTCCGTGGTTGAGCGTGGACCTATGAACCTGGAGGTCAGGGCGCATGCCCGGGCTCCGGGCTCCGGGCTCCATCCCCAGTGCGGGGCGGGCGTCCAGGGGGCAGCCAATCAACCATTCTCTCTCATCATTGATGTTGTCATCTCTCTCCCCCTCTCCTTTCTCTCTGAAATCAATAAAAAATCAAAATAAAAATTTTAAATAATAATAAATAAATGGCAGGTAGACTGCCATCCACAGTGGTGGGGTCACTCACACCATGGACACTGACAGGCACTCCATCAGCGCCCCAGACCCACAGCCAGCCATTGGCATCCCCTGCTCCCTCACCCCTGCCCTCCTCACCCGTCCCCCTCACCCCTGCCCACCTCACATCCCTGATCCCTCACCCCTGCCCATCTCACCTCTGCCTCTCGTACTCCTGACCCCTCACCCTTGCCACTTCACATCCTTGACCTCTCACCCCTGCCCCCGGCACACACCTGCCTCCCTCACACCCCTGCATCCCTCATCCCTGTCCCTGTCACAACCCTGCCCACCTTCCCCCCTGCCCTCTCCCCCTCCCCCCTCCACCCCTGCTCCACCCGACCCGACCCGTCAGCCTCTGCCCTCCTGGGTAGTCCTCCTCCTGGACAAATGTCACAGTGCCCTGATGCCCCGCCCTCACTGGAAGAGGCCGGTGGACACGCACCCAGGAGGAAGCGCTGGGCCGCACGCGCAGTTGCTTGCAGGAGGGCCAGGGAGGCCGCAGCCCAGGCACCCCGGGCACGGCGCCACATCTCCCGGGCCTGGACTCCGGCGGAGCTGGCCGTGGCCCGGATGCGCTGCAGCTGGGAGGACAGGCGGAAGTGAATGTGTCTCCTGTAACTAGATGGCCAGCTCTCCCCCTTCCCCCGCCCCGGGGCCCCTGTGCTCTGTACCAGCTGCCGATGCCGCTCCATGGCTGCGACTGCTCGGAGCAGGCTGGAGGTGGTGTTGCCGGAGACGCCCAGAGCCCACCCGGCAGCGGGCAGAGTCCCGGGGCACGGGGGCGCGGCGCAGGGCACAGGGGCACAGGCCGGCCCAGGGCCCGGGCCCCCGCATGCCTGCCAATGAGACAGGAGATCCAGAAGCTCATCTCAGACTCCCCTGCCCTCTCCCAGGGGGCCCTAGGGGAGGGGCCTGGCCTGGGCAAAACCCCAGTGACCATCTCCACCCCCCCCTCCAGCTGTGAGCAGGAGCCGCAGGAGCTGTGGGTGCAGCCTCTGGACCTTGTTCACAGCACCCACACAGAGGCACCCCCAGGCTGGCCCGGGCCCCGCAGAAGCCGCTCTGTCCACCGCCGAGCCTCTCGGGCCTGTCCCAGGAGGCTGCCTGGGCCTCCAACTGTGGCCACGACCTGGGCCCCGCGCACGGCCTCCTGGGAAAGCAGGGCAGCGGAGGAGGCCTGGGCCTCAGCCTCTGCAGAAGGTGGGAGGGGGAGAGAGGTGACTCAGCTCCATAGGCAGGGCACCTGGTCCCCCTGGCCCAGCCCAGCCCCTGCCCGCCTGCTGCCCACACGCCACCCGCTGCCTCACCTTGGACCCCTGGGGCCCTCTTAGGCCAGGCCAAGCCCTTGACACAGTCCAGCTCCCGGGACAACTCTTTCAGCCGCTCACACTGCCTCTCCAGCCACGGCTCACTCTGGGCCACAGCCTGTCCTGGGGCCATCAGTGACTGGGCCAGCGCAGTCACTGCTGTCCTGCGGGGACAGAGCATCAGCATGGTGGACGGGGTCCTCCCCACGACCTCCACAGGCCAGCCTGTGGCCCTCAGAACCCCTGACCCTGGGAACCGCGCTGGAGACCTCTCCCCGCTGACCCCACCCCTTGCCTGAGTCCAGCTATGCGCTCTGTCAGCTGCCCCAGGGCCCCCGCCGTGGGCGAAGGAGATTCCAGGATCGTCTGTGCCTGATGGAGTATCCCCTCCAGGGCCTGCTGGGGTCCGCTCGGGCCCCTAGCACCCCAGCCAGGCGTCCCCTGGTGTAGGGCAGCAGCCTCCTGGGCCACAGCCTCCAGCCGCCGGCGGAGCAGAGCCACGCGCTGGTCCCAGGAGGTGAAACAGGGAGGGCAGGGTGAGCAGTGTGGGAAGGCACCTCGGGAGCCACGGGCACATGCCTGGCAGCCCGGCCCAGCGATGCCCTCTCTGCAGAGGCAGGCACCCGTGTGAGGGTCGCAGCTGGGCGAGAGGGAGCCCTGTGGGGGAGAGACAGGGTGAGGGCAGGGAGTGGCCAGCACTCAACTTCGCCCCACCTCCAGGAGCGGCCCGGGAGGGGTGGCCCGGGAGCGGGGGCCCGGGACAGGGCGAGGGTGCTCGCTGGCCGCTGCGCAGACCACCACGGCCTGGCCGCCCTTGGGCAGGAAAACAGCTGAGGGAGGCGGGCACTCTGCAGCCAGGCAGGGGTCACCGGGCTCAAGGACTGGCAGGAGGTCAGGAAAGAGCCACCCAAGGTGTCCTTCCTGCGGGAGTACCTGAGTAGGTTTTTAAAATACATTTTTATTGACCAGAGAAGAAGGGAGAGCGTGAGAGGGGAACATCCATGATGAGAGAGGATCATGGATCAGCTGCCTCCTACATGCCTCCCCCTGGGGATGGAGCCTGAAACCCAGGCCTGTGCCCTGACCGGGAATCACACCGTGACCTCCTGGTTCCTAGGTCGACCCTCAGCCCCCAGTCATGCTGGCTGGCACCCCACAAGGTTCTGCCAACACTTTCCCTAGCTGCCTTCACAAGTACTTGCTGAAGTTTTGGGGAACAGCACTAAGCACACGTGGTCTCCCCAGAAAAACCCCGGTGCCCGGCCACTCCACACCGAGTGGCTCCTGCAGGCAGCCTGTCCCTCACCTCTGCACTCCCGCTCGGGGTCACCCCAGGACCCGTCCTCACACCGGGAGCACGTGCAGCCCCCAAATCCTGGCCAGCAGGGGCACTGACCCGTGACCTGAGGGGACAGGGTGGCCGGTCAGCAGGAAGCGGGCCTCCTGGGAGCAGGAACAGAGTGCTCAGAGGCGGTGTCCGGTGTCCATTCTCCCGGCCCAGCTCCCCGCCAGCCCTGCTCCTGCGCAGGCAGCTCCCGCTTTGACAGGGCCCCTCCCTTCCTGCTTCCTCAGCCTGAGCCTTGGCCAGCCCTCCTCCCACACGGCCAGCCTCGCCCCCCTGGACCCTCCGAGTTCTCGACGCCAGGCCTGCGGCCCTTGCTCTCCGTGTCCTGAGCGGACACCCCACTGTCCACGCTGTCCCGCCTCCTTCCCCAGGACTCAGGACACACGAGGCCTCCTCAGCAGCCGACCCTCCTCCGGAAACCACTCCCACCACCTGCTCCCACAGCCTCGCCCTGTGCCTTCGGCCTCCTTCCAGCCCTTCCCCCTCCTCCCTCCGGTGCTCACTCCTCAGGCCATGACCCTCAGGGTGAGTTGCACGGGGTCGGGCACACACAGCCCATGGTGGCTCCCCCAGGCCCTCCCGCTCACAGGGACCACACAGTGGCTGGCAGCACGAACCCGGGGTGGGGGTCACGGGATCACCCGCCACAGGCACACACACTCACACAGGCCGGCCCCAGGCTGTGCCCTAGGCTTACTCACTGGGTGGCACACCGGCTGCAGAGTGTGCTGGGCACGGCAGCTGCAGGGCTCGCAGCCCCAAGGGCCTCCCAGGTTCCAGAAGAGGGGGGCACAGCGGCTACAGGCCCGCCCCACAGTGTGGGGGCGGCAGGGGCACTGCCCATTGACCGGGTCGCAGAAGCAGACCTCGGCCCACGATGGGCACCGCGCGGGGACGGTGCCCCGGGGGTCACAGCTGCAGCCTGGGGAGAGGGCGGGCTGGATGGGACGGAGGAAGGAACCCACCCCCCCTTGGCCGCCTCCCCACCCACCGCACACTCACGCCGGCAGTGGGCACAGCCGGGGCCGTGGCTGTGGTGCAGGCAGCGCTGGCAGCGCCCCGTGCGCGGGTCGCAGGCGGCGGGGTCGCCGGGGTCGATGTTGTTGTTGCACTGGCAGGGCCGGCAGGGGCTCCTCCCGGGCTCCTCCGCTGGCCAAGGGCGCCCGAAGTAGCCGGCGGCGCAGCGGTCACAGTGGGGCCCTGGGAGGCGGTGCGTGCGGCCCTCACTCCCAGAAGGCCAGGGCGGCCGGAGGGCAGGCACAATGGCCACGCTGAGGCCCACCTCCCGGCGCCCACGCTCCGTGCCGGTGACTCCTCCCGTGGCCCCTCCTGCCCCGCGGAGCCCGGGGAGGGCCGGCTGCCGCTGAGCCTGCTGGTGGCACTGGCACAGGCCAGCCTCGGGGCGCAGGGATGATGCCCGGTGAGCAGCCCGGTCTGCCAACCGCCCGCACCTCACCTGTATAGCCAGGCCTGCAGAGGCACTGGACTCGCCCGCTTGTGCCAGCCAGGTGGCAGGACGTCCCGTGATAGAAGCCGGAGCCAGGGCGCCCGGGACAGAGGCAGGGCCGGCACCGCTGGCCTGAGCCCAGCGCGGGGTCTCCGTAGTAGCCGTCCAGGCACCTGGGCGGCAGCACATGGGTGGTCCGGCCGCTCCCCCCAGCCCTCCCACACTCTCCGGGCAGCACCCACCTCTCACAGTGCCAGCCTGCCGTGGCTCCGAGGCAGGCCTGGCAGGCGCCGGAAAGCGGGTGGCACGCCTCAGCGTGCCCATTGCAGGCACAGGGCTGGCAGCGCGGGAAGCCCCAGTGGCCCTGAAGGCAGCGGTCACAGCGGCGACCAGCCAGGCCGGCCCAGCAGGGCACTGCCCGCTCATCGGGCCACAGGCGGCGCTGGTGGCGCCCGCGGAGTGGCAGCCGCGCTCTGTGGGAACGACAGGGCCATGGGGCGGGCAGAGGAGGCGCGCCCCGGCCTGCGCCCGGCCGAGGCTCACCTCTGCAGCCGCCAGGGCCCAGGCCGTACGTCCCAGGCTCACAGCGGTCACAGGTCCGGCCCGTGACGTTAGGACGGCAGCGGCACTGCCCGCCCCGCAGGGCACACTCGGCACTCAGTGAGCCCTGGGGGTGGCACTCACATGCTGGCAGGAGAAAGGGCGAGGTCAGGTGACTTCAGGGTGCCTCTGACGCCCCTCCCGCAGCCCCCGAGGGGTCAGGCACCGAGGCCGCCGCCATGGAGCAGGGCCGAGATGCTGCAGGCCCGGTGGGCACAGGCGGCGGGCGCGGAGCTGGAGCGGCCGGTCCTGGCGGCCTCCAGGCAGCCGGCGGCATGGAGCTCCTGCAGGCGCCCTGCGGCCACGGGGTCCACCAACCGCAGCCCAGGCAGCTCCCTCACCCAGGGCAGGAGCACAATCTGGGAGGAGGGCGGAGAGTGGGGGAGGAGGTGGCAGGCAAGGGACAAGGAGCCACTCCCAGCCAGCACCGGCCCTCACAGCCCTCCGGCCCCTTCCCGCTTCTCTCTGGGTCCGCGCCTCCTTCCTCCCCAAAGGCCTGGTCTAGTTGGAGCAACACCGCCTCTCACTCAGCATCAGGGCAGCTGCTCCCCCACTATCCCCTCTCCCCAGCTCTTCTCTGCCCAGTCCCTTCCAGGGCCCCCACGGGGCCCCCCTCTGCCCCTCCCTCTCCTGGCGACACAGTCCCTCGAGGTCGGCCTTGGCCTGTTCTCACCTTCGATCCTCAGAATGTGGCTTTCCCCGGACCCCTCTCCCTACCCCCCGCCTGTCTCCATCAGGCACAACCCCAGGCCTCCATGCCCCCTGTCCCTCATTGTCTGTAGGACGTGTTTTCCAGTTTTTCCAGGTTTTCCACAAACCTCCGACATGCCGACACCCCACTTCCTCACCTTCCCAGCCTGCCCGCCTCTCCCTCCAACCAGCTCTCTCTGGATATTCCCCACCCCGGGTCGGGACCGGGCCCAAGATCTCACCGAGTCCAGAGGATGATGCCCCCTCAGGCCTTCGCACCCCTTTGGTCCGCCACAGCCGCAGGGTCACGGAGTAGCGTGTGCCGGCTCAAAGCAGAAAGGTCTGGGAGCACCACAGCTCTGCGGGAGGGGAGAGTAAGGACAGGGTGAGGAGGGCACGACCAAGTGGGCACTGCCCAGTGATTGGAGCCCACATCTCATCATGGGACCAGCTTCCCTCCTGTCGCTGTTTGAACTCAAACCAGCCCTGTTCCCATTGCTCCAGGACATGATGGCATGGGAGTGACGCTGGGTGTTAGCAGCACCATAGGGGCTGGTGCCTACCTGTGCGTGTGGGTCAGGTGGCCTGGAACAGCTGCTCTGGGGGCAGTGGGTGGGCACAGCGAGTGCTGCTGGGCAGAGACTGGGCGTGGACCCTGACTAACGCCTGCCAGTCTTCAGGTGCCTAGGGTCAGGGGTCAGTGGTCAGCAGTCACAGAACTGCCCCGACCCACCACCCAGCACCACCCACCTCGCCACCGACCTGGACTCACAGTGCAGGACAACGTCATACTCCAGGGCACGAGGCACGGCGGGAGCCAGCAGAGAGGCCGGCCCCATCTGCCACGCGGGCGAAGCCTGAGCCAGGCCCCAGCGGGGGCCAGCTCCCAGGGGCAGGGCCCCGGGCGCCTCGGGGGCCTGGGGAGGACACAGACTCCCAGGCCCAGGCCCCCAGGACCTCGAGCCCGCCCTCAGGACTTGGGTTCCCTTCCCCAAGACCCCAGAGACCCCGACCCAGGCTGGGCCCTTCCCCAGGAGAGCCTGGCCCGGGGCTTTACCCTGCTCCGCAGGCTCCTCCCTCGGGCGGCTGGCGGCTGGAGCGGGCTCGCCCGGCAGGCTGCAGGGCGCACCGAGGGTCACGCCCGAGGGTCACGCTGCCTCCGCAGTCGGGACCGGAGCCAATCCGGGGAGGCCCCTGAGGCTGGGGCACAGGGGGGAAGAGCAGGCCTGGGGGCTCCCTGGGGACAAGTGGGGGCCAGTGTCCTTCAGCATTCTGGCCCTGTCCTCTCCACACTGTCCTGGGAATATGGGCTCCAAAGACACCAAACCTCCGACATGCCGACACCCCACTTCCTCACCTTCCCAGCCTGCCCGCCTCTCCCTCCAACCAGCTCTCTCTGGATATTCCCCACCCCGAGCCCCAAGGTCTGAGCCTGGAGTCCCTCCTGCCCCCGGCCCCTGGCCCCTCACAGGCAGCCGAGGGTCAGTGGGCTGGAGGCCCTGGCCGAGCTCAGCTTCGGCGACGGCCTGGTCGAGGGCAGCGCAGAAGTACCCAGCCTGGGGCTCCTGGCAGCGGCGGCCGCGGAGATGGGCCGGCACAGGCAGAGGCCCTCCCGGGCAGAGCACCTGAGTGTGCGCGGGGCGGGAAGGGGACAGAATCCACACCCGGTTCTGGTCCCTTCACCCCCACTCCTAGGCTCGCCTTGTACCTGTTGCTGTAGGCACCCCCAGTCACAGTCACAGGGCCTGCAGCCTAGAGAGTCACTGCTCAGACCCCAGAACTCGGGCTGTGAGAGGGGAAGAAAGACAGGAAGAGCTGGACAGGGTTAGCCTTAGGGTTAGAGCTAGCCTTAGGGTTATGGAGGTCATGGACAGAACTGCCTGTGGTCGGATAAAGGAGGCCGAGTCCTGCCTGTGGCTGGGCGGGGAAGTGGAGATGCTGGCGGACTCCAGCAGGGCTTCATGGGGGGGGGGGGGGGGGGGTAAGAATAAAGCTGAGAGCCCGGCCAGCATGACTCGGGTTGAGCGTCAAACTATGAACCAGGTCATGGTTCAATTCCCAGTCAGGGCACAGGCCCCGGTTGTGGGCTGGATTCCCAGTGGGGGCATGCAGGAGGCAGCCCATCAATGATTCTTTCATAGTTAATGTCTCTTCTCTCCCTCCCTCCCTTCCTCTCTGAAATCAATAAGAAAGGATGAGGAGACAGCCAGGGTTAAAAGTTAAAGCATTTGCCAATCTGAGGGAAGGCCAGGAGGGGACGAACTCTCTTCCCCTTTCGCCCAGGGCCACGACTTGTAACTCACTCCATCGTGTTTCCTCCCGTTTCCCTGCCCCTGCCCGGGGCTCCGCGGCCTCAGCTCACCAAGGTGGCGCTGACCCTGGTGACCAGGTCGGCAGGGCCCCGCCATGGGCATGGCTCAGGGCAGTCACCCTGAGGATAGCCTTGTGCTTGCCAGCTTCCAGAAGCTCTGTGCCCAAGAGCCAATCAGATGAACCGAGACTCACCAGACAGCGGCTGCAGTCCGGTCCCGAGACAAAGCGCTTGCAGCGGCAGGCCCCGCTGGAGGGGTCGCAGGCCTGAGCGCCAGGGCCCCGGCCCCGGGGGTCGCACCTGCAGGCTGAGGCACAGGCGGGGGATGGGGGCAGTGGCGGGCAGAGCTGGAGGACATGGGGGTGGGCCACGCTTAGGTCACGCTCGCTGGCGGCCCTCGGGCGGGGAAGGCTCAGGCCATAGAGCCCAGGCCGGCAGGAGCCACAGCGCCGGCCCCAGACGCTGGCTTTGCAGCGACACTGCCCAGAGAGGAGGCGGCGGGTCTCGTCGGTGTGGGTGTCACACAAGCCGCCGTCCAGGGCGCCCACAGGGTCACAGTCGCAGGCTGGGCAAGGTCAGTGAGGACAGTTAGGGGCGGTCCCCCTGGAGGGGAAGGGTCGCTGGGGTCGGGCTGGGGCCGAGGGCTCACGTTTGCAGGAGTGAAGGGAGCGGGGGTCTGCCCGGGGCTCTCGGTGGAAGAAGGGCTGGCAGAGCTCGCAGTGGGCACCGGCTGTGTTGTGTTGACACGCGTCACACACACCCCCGCTCACGTTGTCAGATGCCAGGTACAGGGCCATGTCGAAGTGGCAGCTGCGGGCATGCCCATGGCACTGGCATTCTGGTGAAGAACGAGAAAGGTGGGTATGGAGTGGGCTGCCATGGCACCTACCCCGGCAGGCACGGGGGTGCCCAGCTCTGCCGCATGCCAGGGGTGGTCCTGGTACCGGTCCTGGCAGCGCTCACAGTGGGTGCCAGCTGTGTGATGGCGGCAGACACAAAGGCCATGCACCTGGCAGGAAGGAGGGAGGCTGAGCGGCCCCGTGCTCTGCCTGCCCACCCCCAGCCACAGGATGCCCCGCCCTGGCGCTCACCATGCCTTCCGTGCAGGCGGGAGCCCCGGGCGCAGGCCTGCACTCGGAGGCATGGCCGTGGCACAGGCAGCTGCCTCCGACCATGAGCTCGTAGGGGGTATAGTAGTAGAAGGGGTGTCCCCTGAGGCCCCCCGGGGGCCTGCCACCCAGGGTGTGCAGTTTGGAGAAGTTCACACGGAGGTTAGTCACACGCAGGAGCTCTGCAGGCACAGATGGAGGCCTCAGGTGGCCGGTCCTGCCTCCACGGCTGGGAGGGAGGGGGCAGGGTGTCTCCCCGTTCCGCCACCGCAGCCACCTCCTCCAGCCCCCCTGCTCCTCTGGGTACACGTCAGGATGACCTAACGTGGCAGCCCCATCTGCACTGCTCCAGCCCCGATACCACTGAGTGAGCCCTCTGCATCCCTGCTTCCTGGACACCCGTCCACATCTCGGCTGGGAACCTGCTTCCCCACCCATTGTCCAGACCCTGCAAGGCACTGGTGTGCTTATTAGCTGGCTATGTCTGCTCCCCGCCTACGGCCCCATTCCTGCCCCATGATTGTTCCCCACGCTGTGCCCACTGCTTAGGGACTGGCATGAGCAGGTTTCCATCTCTGCCCAGAAGACGCCTGCCATGCAGGGCCCTTGTTAGATGCACAGGCTGATGGCCCAGGCTCCTCCTGCTCCACAGCTTGTCAGGTACCTGCCAAGGCCACCTCCTCTCCTTCGCTTCCTCCTGACCAAGGGATGGGAAACAGCTGCGCCGGGACCCAGTGTGGGGGTTCGGGTGAGTAGCTGGTAATCACCGTCAAGGCGGGTGGAGAGTGGGAGAAAAAGATAATTTGGGTTCATCCTCTGTGTTTCTGCCTGGCCTGGCTCTGGGCCACCCTGTTGAAGTATGTGTCTCTCTTGTTTGTTTTTTTTAAATATATGTTTACTGATTTCAGAGAGGAAGGGAGAGGGAGAGAAACATCAATGATGAGAATCATGGATCGGCTGCCTCTTGCAGCCCCCCACTGGGGATCGAGTCCACAACCCAGGCCTGTGTGGGAATGGAACCATGCCCTCCTGGTTCGACCCTCAACCACTGAGCTCTCTTGCCCCTGCTTTACGAGGGCACCCCGAGATGCCCTGCCCTCACCCAGAGGCCGCTGCGGGATGTAGGGCACCAACTAAGGCCAGAATGACGGCTCAGAGGGGCGGGCGTGAGTGGGGCCATGCTCGGAGCAGTGATGGGGGCTCCCGGGGGAGTTGGGAGGTAGTGACAGGAGCAGAGACATGGGCCGGGGGGGGGGGGGGGGAGTGACAGGGACGACATGGGCCGGGGGTGTGGGCAGTGACAGGGACCACATGGGCCCCATGAGACCAATGACGGGGCAGAGATTAAACTGCTACCCGTGCCATGGGCAGCGAGGGGCAGACATGGAGGCCAGAACAGGGACCACAAGAGGACCGTGACTGAGCTGGCCCCAGGCGGGACTCCCCTCCCTGTTCCCGCCCGCCTCACAGGCCTGGCTAGAATTACCCTGCTTCTCGGGGTCGTGTGGGTTCTCCACCAGGAGGGCTGGGTCCAGAACATGGAAAATGACCTGAGGAAGAAGCAAGCCTGAGCCTCTGGCTTCACAACCACCCTCCCCGCCTCCTCTGGGCCTGACCTTGCCCTCGGTGGAAGGCTCAATGTCCCAGTAACGCTGGTCACACACGAGATCGCTGGCACTGCGGCCGGGGCCCGAGCGACGCCAGGGGAGGCCTGAGCAGTTGTGGGCAAAGTGCCGGTACACACGCCAGGAGCGGCCGCGGTCCGCCGAACGCTCAGGGTCGGCGCCGCTGGGCAGAATGTCTGGGGACAGGAGGGGTCCTCGGTTACCAGGGGCAAGCACCACGGGTGGCCGTGAGGACAGGGGGCACACGGCCCGCCTCCAGGCCGGGGCAGCGGTCACCTTGAAGGTCATGACGAGGTGGGTGAAGTGGAATGCACTCTCTAGGTCTAGCTGGATGGTAACGTTCTCAACACCTGCAACCACAGGCTGGTCAGTGACCAGACCGTGGCCCCAGACCCTCATCCAGGCACACCAGCACCCTCACCACTCTCAGCTTGCCACCAGGTCTGGTTGCCATGGCAACCACTCCAGGATATCACATTCTCAATGCCATGGCCACCCCGGTCCCCGTCCCGGGAGTCACAAAAGAAGCAATGCTCAGAGTCCTGGGTGTCGGAGGGAGGGAGGAGGTCCATGGCGGTGCCCCCACTCCAAAGCATCTCAGCTCCACCTCTCCCTCCAGCCCCCAGTGACCTGACCCTCCAGGCCCAGCTCCCAGGAAGACTGAGGTACCCGGTGCAGAGGCCTCCCCTGCGCCCCCACCTGGGGGTGACTGACAAGGCAGTAGCGCTCAGGGCCATGGCGTCCACAGGTGGATGAGCTACGAAGGCTCTGGCTGCGACCCACTACCAGGTCCCCAGTGGGCGGGTAGCAGCTGCCGCTCGAGCAGCCAGACGGGGTCAGTGTGTCTGGCACTTCCTGGGCAATTGTTCTGGGAGCCTGGACTGGGAGGTGTAGGTCTGAGTGGGGATCCTAGGGGCTCCCCCTCCAACCTCACCCCACCCCACCCCACCCCACCGGGCGGCCTGAAGACTTCTCACCCAGGGGTGGCAGCAGCAGCAGCAGCAGCACTGAAAGGAGGGGGCCTAGGCCAGCTGGGGGGCCTGGGTGGTAGGTGCTGGAATCACGCCTGAGAGAGAGGAGCTGTGGCCCCTGGGCCATTTCCCATACTCACATGGTGGGTGAAAGCAGGGCCACCAAAGGCAAGCGGCGAGCAGAGCTGTGGGGCCACCATGCAGCGGGGAGCAAGGGGTCCCCAGAGCCAGGGAAACCAAGGAAGTGGGCGCCCAGGGGAAGGATGCAAGATGGGGAGGGGCACAGGAGCACGCTGCGCTTCTGCAGGTCCAGGTCGCTGGCAGGGCAGGCAGTGCAGCTGGGGCTCAGACTGACCAGACAGAAAGGCCCCATTCTCATTCAATGAGGCCACCCCAGCCCTGAAAGGCTCTCCAGGAGCCTCTTGGGAATGCCTCCCCAGCCAGCCCCAGCCACTGGCTTCAGGCTGGGCAGCCAGCAAGACTGGCAGATGGGCAGGGAGAGTTTTGCTCAGGGCCAAGCCCAGCCCCCTCCAAAGCAGGGAGAGCTGATGGTATCTGAAATGCACAGCCGGTGGACAGAGCGCAGAGCCCGGACCGCAGGAAGCACTGCTCCCGGGGGCAGTCGGGGATGCAGCAGCCACAGACCAAGGAGAAAACTGCTTGATCAGGGAGGGCGGACTGTGGCCCTACAACAGGAGCTCTGACCTCTGACTCAACCCCAAGTCCTCACTAACTGGGGAAATCAAGGCTAGCCGCTCTTCTGAAAGGAGCAAGGGGAGCAGGGGCAGAGGTACGCCAGCCATTTTAGGCCCAAAGAACCCAGGCAAAGCCCGGAGTTTCAGCCAGTCAGGCTGCCCCATCACCCTGGGGAGCAGGACCACAGAGCCCCTTCCGTGGCCTAGAAACCGGCAAGGTGCCTGGCTCCCCATTTTCCTCCTGCCTGGGGTCCACGCTGGGTACCAAACCACCAGAGTGGCTCTGCCTTGCCCTGAGGAGCTGCCCTGCACCAGAGGGCAGGGTATCCAGAGGGCAGGGCCCGGTGGCCCATCACTCACAGGGGTGACCGGCCCTCAGCTACCGGGACCGCCCAGGCTTCTGGCCCTGGGAGCTCAAGCTGCCTCCCGCAGCCACACAGACACGAACGGCAGGCGGGAGACCAGGATGTGGAAAGGTATAAAACGTGATGGATGGAACGTGGACATACAACCTGAAGAGCAGCAAGTCACAGTGCATTGTCCCCCGGCCCCCACCCTCCTGTCTGGAAGGCTAGTGGCCTGCAGGCCCTGGAGAGGCGCCCCCAGTCCTCAAGGTTGTGGAGTCCACGGCATTGCACTGTGCCCGACCACAGGGACAGCCGGCCAGTCCCCGAACCGGGCCGGGGAGAGGTCAGGGCACCGGGGAGGGCAACAGGGGCTGGAGGCGGACCACGGGGGACAGGTTCACACGGAGGGCGCGCTGGGCCTGCCGCCGCACTTCGTCGTCCGAGGATCGCCTGTCCACGTTGATGGCCTGGAACTTCAGGAGCTCGGATGTCCCAGGACGTACCCGTGCCTTAGGGCCGCGGGCCCCCAGCCGCGTCCTCTTCCGGGGAAGGTCTTTTGCCTCCTCAGTCCTTTTCCTCTTCTGCCCCCCAGCCCCAGGGCTGCTTTTCGGGCCTTTCCTTGCGGTCCTGGCCTGAACAGAGCCTTTCACACAGTCCCGGCCCCGGCCCCTGGGCTGGGTCCGAGCAGCCTTGGCCTTGGCCCGCGCCGCCTGGGCTTTGGCCTTGATCCATGCTGCTTTGGCCTTGGCACATGTGGCCTTGGCCTTGACCTCCACTGCCTTCGTCTTTGCCCGGGCCTTGGCAGCTTTAGCCTGGGTGTGAGCCACCTTGGCCTGGGCACAGACAGCTCTGGCCAGTGTCTGAGCCGCCTTGGCCTGGGCTGTCTTGGTGCTCGAGGCAGAGACACCTTTTGTTTGTGGGCCAAGGAGGGACCCGGTGGCTTTGCAGGTCTTGCTCTGAAGCCCAGCGCTTTCTTGGGGTCCAGCCCTGGGGCCTCTGCGAATCACACACTTAGGGCTCTTGCTTGTGACTTTCCTAGGAAGCCCCAGGCCCTTTCCCGGGCCTTTCTGCAGCTTCAGGGGAGAGTCCGCGAGGGAGAGCTGCAGGGGCTGTGTCTTGTGCTTGGCACCCAAGTGGGGCATGGGAGTCTTGAGTGGAACCAGGGCCTCGAGGACAACGGAGAGCCGCATGGCAGGGTAGACACCTGGATAGAGGTGGGTGGGGAAGCCCACTGCTGTGCCCCGGGCATGGCTGGCACTGGACTCCTTCAGGGAGCTCAGGAGCAGGTTGGTGGTAGCATGCTTGGGAAGGGCTGGTGTGGACGCTTTGGCCAGCCTGCCAGACAGCGGCACGGGAAGCAGCGTGGCCGGGCCGGCAGGCAGCCGCATCGCAGCTCGGGGAGCACCGGCTGGAGGTGACGTGGTGGCTGGGATGGGGGCGCGAGCATGCAGCTTCGTCTGGCTTGGGGGTTTGGCCGTGCACGAACTGTAGCCGTAGACGTCACCGCTGCGCAGGATGGTAGGCTGGAAGCCATCATCTCGCAGGCCCTGCAGGAAGGCCACCAGCTGGGCCTCTGTGGCGCTCAGATCCTGGCTCATGGGGTTAAAGACCAGCAGCGCCTCTTCCAGGGCCTTCTTCCCTGCCGTGGAGATCCGGGACCACGCGTGCACAGCTTTCTCTTCCACATGCTGCGCCACGCTCATGGCATTGGCACTGCAGGGCTGACGGGGTTCTCTGCACACCAGCGCTCGGCACCTCCAAGGCAAGAGGACACGGTCAGTGAGAACAGCACGGAGCAGGGTCAGGGCAGCCCGACAGGGAGTCAGGGCTCGCACTCTCCAGAGTACCCGCTGACAGGCCTGGCCAGAGCAAGCGTCTCCATGAAGCAAAACGTTCTCCTGACCCTGCTGGCTGCAGGGTGGGGGCCGGGGTGGGAGGACCCAGGTGGGTCAGAGGCAGCTCCTCAGAGCCACCCACCTGCTGTTGTGTCCCTGGCGAGGCCAGGCTCAGCCAGCCTGTTTTAATTCAAGTCTGTATTTCCTGAAGCCAGAAAGCTGGCATTAGACTCAGCCCTGGGACATAAGTGACTAGCGGTCCTCAAGGAGCCCTGCACAGAAGGCAAGACAGACGCCACCGAGGTGGCGGAGGGCACAGCGGAGCCAGCTTCGCTCCCCAGGGCTCAGGAGAGGGCTCCTGGGACACGAGTGATGCTAGGAAAGGACCCGATGGCAATGCAAGGGGAGCAGCCTATGTGATGGCTCCAGCGTGAGGAAGGGTGACCCCTTGTGTGGCTGGAGTCTGTGGTCAGGGCTGGGAGGTTGAGAACGAAAGGCCAGGGGAAGCAGGACAACACAGCCTTGAATGCGGCCAAGGTCCAGACCTTCCCCACGTCCATGCCCACTTCTGTCCCTCAAGCTGCAGCTAGTCAGGAGCCCGAAACCCTCCCTACAGGCCACGTGGAGGCCCTGGAATGGAGTCATGGAGACCAGCCAGACCCCTTCAACAGAGACGGTGAGCAGCACATATAATGACACAGCCCTAGGCAGGCAGGCCAGCAGGCAGGCAGCCCGGGCCGCAGCCGGACCAAGAGCCCCCGGTGTCACAGCGGGAACAAGGCGCCAAGACGGCGGCAGGGAGGTGGGCGCAGGGACCACGCTGTCCACGCGAGGGGGCGGAGGGCCGACCTGGGCGCAGCCAGAGGGGCTGCCCGCTCCGTGCAGAAGCCGCAGGCTGTCGGCGTAACTCAGGTCGGCTCTGCCCGGGGGACTGGCAAACACCGGACCCTCAGGTGTGGCGGGCACTCCCTCTCGGAGGCCGCTCCCGCACGGCCGGCGCACGTGGCCGCGGTGCTTTACTTTCCGGGGTGCAGTCGGGGTGTGAAGCTCAGAGCCGGGGGGCTCGGACCCCAGCCACAGGGACGGGGGAGACCCGGCTGCTCCGCCCAGGTCGGGCTGACCCTGGCGAGGGGTCTGTGGCTTTCCGAGAAGCTCCAGGACGGGGCTCGGACCCCGGCCACAGACCAGGGAGACCCGCTGCCCGGCGGGGTCCTGTGGGCTTTGCGGGCTCCGGAAGGGGCGCCCGGCCCCGCGCTCCCGCATCCGCGCCCCGGGCCGGCGGGAGCGGGCGGCGGGAGGAGGGAGGCCCCGCCACGGCCCCGGGAGCCGGCTGGGAACCCGGGTCCGGGTCCGAGGCGCGGGGTCTGAGGCGGGGGACGCGGGGCCAGCCCGACGGTGGCGCAGCCGCGGGGGCCGGCGGGGGCGGGGGGCGCGCTGGGGCGGCGGGGCCTCCGCCCTCTCGTCTCGCGGGCTCCCCCTCCGGCGCGGCCAGGCCACGGCCCCAACCTACCGGCGCCGCCGCGGGGACCCAGGACGCACCTCTGCGCCGCCTCCGCTGCTCCAACATGGCCGCTCGCTGGGCGCCGGAAGTGCGCTGCGCTTCCGCTTCCGGGACCTGGCCCGCCCTGGTGACCCTTGACCCCCAGACCCTGGTTTCCCCCAAGTTGGAGGGCGGGGCCGGTGGGTACTGGGGAGATGGGGGGGGGGTGCTCCCGGAGGAAGTAGCCGCGGGGCCGCCTGTGCTGGAGCCTGAGGAGGGGCTGTGTCCCCTCCAACACCAGCCAGGGGGCCAGGGGCTGGATAGGGCTCTGCGAGACGGGAGGCTGGCCCTCTGTCCCTAGGTGCCCGGGAGTCCCAGACGGAGCTCTGAAAGCTTTCCTCTGAGCAAAGTGACTGGACTTTGGCGGGTGCTTACCCCAGAGGCATAACTGGGATCGGAGCGGGTGATGGGGTCATCCCCAAACTCATGCATTGCTCTGGTTTGGCATCTTCTATAGCCTGAGCGCTGGGCCCTAGACCCACACCCACCTGGGCAGAGGGGCCTGGTGAGATGTAGGTATGAGTTAGGCCAGGGGCCTGAGCAGGTCAACCCCAGAGGGAGAAGCATGGGCAGGTCTTGGGGGCCACTTCCTAGGGATGGAGCGTTCGCAGGGCTGGCAAAGGCTCAGAGACAGCACAGAAGCAGGAGGAAGCCCGTCACAAGGATCCCGGCGACATTTGGCTGAGACAGACCCCTGAGGTTTTGGCTCATGGTGTCCCATGGTGACTGTGGCGAGAGCAGTCTGGGGGAGCAGTGGCAGCAGACATGAGGTGGGACCTGTGAGGACAGATGGCTTCAAGAGTTTGACTGGTGGGAGGAAGAAGAGGCTGGAGGGACTTTGGTGCTGGGAGGTCTAAGGCCAGGAGGCTTTAAGTGCTGAGTTGCTGGAAAGGAGAGGGGAAGGGCCTAGAAGGGGGTAGTGGGGGATTAGAGGGGGTGTGAAGAGCAGTATGAACAACCTGAGGAGGACGGGAACAGAGCTCCCAAAGTGGTGAGCAAGTCGGGGGCCAAGTGGAGTTGGAGGACAGAAGCCTGGCCAGGATCTGTAACAGGAAAGGGCACCACCGTTTCCGGGCAGGTTCTCCAGCTGCTGGCCTCTGACAGTGGCTGCAGACTCTGCTCGTGGACAAGGCTCTGCCCACACTCTGGGGCCTAATGTGAGGCCAGTGCCCACACTGGCCCGGCGGGCCTTGGTCCCAGCTGCTGGCAGTGCTGTCTTGCTGATGACACACCTTTGCCAGCTGCTTCCCCTCTCCTGGCCACTCCTGGCACTGCATCCTGCCTCGCCTCCTTCACTGACTGCGTGCACTTGCACCTTGTGTCCAGGTGTGCTTCCAGACACTGTCCATGGTGCTCTGAGTGGTCAGAGATGGGCAGGCTCTGGTCTGAGGCGGGTAGTCCTTTGTCTGCCAACTTGCCATCGCTCCACCCCAGTGTTGGTTGGAGGCGGGGTCAGGACCCTGGAAATGGACCTTCACAAAATGACTCAGAACAGCCAGCCCCAGGCCCTGCAGAATGAGGCCGAATGCCCTGCCTGGAAGGTCCCTTGGCCTCTGACTCTTCAAGTTCATCCCGTCAAGTTCACCTCGCCCACCCTCACCTCCCCACGCAGGCCACAGAAAGGCCGTCAGGACTGAGGACAGCGCTCCCACTCCGCAGCCCCCGCGCCTCGCCTATTGGGACCTGCTCAGTGCCGCTAGGTGCCTGGGGAGGGCCCCTCAGACACCGCACCCCGAGATCAGGCCACGCCCCAAGGGCTCCTCCAATTCACGGCAGCGGGCGCCCCGCCCCTCAAGCCCGGGTTCTGCAGGCCCCTCGCCCTTCCCTCCGCCGGCTGCTCCCGGCGGTCCGCTCAGAAGGCCCCCCCCACACACACACACACACGTGCGTGCTGCTCCCGCCGCCCATCCTCCCCGCCTAGGGTCGGACCCCACTTCTGGGCAGGCCCGGTGTCCTCTCGTCCATCTCTCAGTCCACCCGTTTGCGTGTGACCGCGGCAGGCGCGCGCCGCAGCCGTGGCAGGTGCAGGGTTAAGGTGGGGGTGGGGGAGGTGTCCCCAGTCGGGAGGGGGAGAGGGCGGACCCCGTCCAGCCCCGCCCCGCGCCGGAGCCGAGCCAGAGCCCCGCGGAGCCCCGCCGCCGCAGCCCCAACCAGAGCCAGAGCCGCGGAGCCCCAACAGCGGACCCCGCGCCCGAGCGCCCCGGAGCCCCAGCCGGTGAGTCCCCCGGGAACTGGGGAAGTTTGGGGCGCAGGGTGAACCCCAAGCGGGCTCGCCGGGACCCGCCCCCCGCTCTCCCGGGAGCTGGAAGTTTGGGCTGGGCTCTGGTGCTGGGGTCCAGGGGTGTGGCCCCTCCAGAAGCGACAGGCCGGGGACGCGGGGTTTGCTGTGAGGGGCCGAGGGGCAGGTGCCCGGTCCTGCGGAGCCGCCTCCTCCCCTATATGCACCCGGGAGGCCGCCTCGGGGCCTGGGTGGACGAGCTGCTGAGGGCGGGCGGACCTCAAAGGAAAAGGCGGAGGGCCTCCCCGCCCACCCCCTGATGGTGGCCTTTGCTGGTGGGAATGCGCGCCCAGTGCTCCCAAAGGGGCGGGTGCTCTGGAGCTGGGCCCTGGCCTCAGGGGGAGACCAGAGGGCTGCCCAGGGCACAGAGGAAGCTGGGCAGGGGCAGGAGTCGGGTCCTGTCACCTGCCTCCCATCCCGACCCAGGTGTGACCGGGAGCTGAGGCGCTGGCAGGGCTCCGCCTCCCGCGCCCTCCCCGCCTCGCCCTGAGCTGGGCTCGGAGCCCTCACTGCCTCTCAGCTGGGAGGTGGAGCAGCGCCCAGGCTGCCTGTCTGAGTAGGACCAGCTTTCCCTGCCGCCCATTCCTCCTCTGAGGCCAGGAGGGTGGCCAAGGACTCTCCTGGTTACAAACAGTCTGGGGCGGGGAATGGGGATAAGGGTGAGCAGGGGGCAGGGGTGGGAGGGAATCCCACAGGTCCATGGCGGGGGGGGGGGGGGGGGGGGCATTGCCTGGGGTCTGGGAGCTGCGCCCCTGCCCCTCCAGGTGGGTGGGCTTCCACAGTGGCTTGCTAGCCAGCCAGGGCCCCCCTGCCTTTCCCACTGGGGATTCTGGGCTCTGAGCTACAGGCTGCTACTGGCCTCTGAGAGCAGGCCGGCGGCCTGACCCTGTCCCCCTCTCCTCCAGGAGGCGGCCGTGCCCTGGGCCGCGGACACCCCCTTAACCTGGCGGTCAGGATGAGGCCGGCATCGCGAGGCCTGAGCCGGAGCAGTAGCGCGTCCTGCCCATGAGGTGACGCCATGGCCGCAGGGGGCAGCCGGGCCTTTGCCTGGCAGGAGTTCCCGCCCATGCCCACGTGCCGCGTGTACAGCACGGTCGCACACCAGGACGGGCACCTGCTAGTGCTGGGGGGCTGTGGCCGAGCTGGCCTGCCCCTGGACACTGCTGAGACCCTGGACATGGCCTCACACACGTGGCTGGCACTGGCACCCCTGCCCACTGCTCGGGCGGGTGCGGCCGCTGTGGTGCTGGGCAAGCAGGTGCTGGTGGTGGGAGGTGTGGATGAGGGCCAGAGCCCAGTGGCTGCCGTGGAGGCCTTCCTGGCTGACCAGGGCTGCTGGGAGCGCCGGGCCGCCCTGCCGCAGGCCGCCATGGGCATCGCCACGGTGGAGAGAGGTGAGTTGCCCCCCAGGGAGGGCTCTTGGTGCCCACACCCTTCATTTCCCCACCGGGCTCCTTCCCTGAGAGCCGGGCAAGAGCTGTTGCTTCAGCCCGGCTGCCTGGGCAGGGCTCTGCCTCCTGCATCCCCCCCCCCCCCCCGCCCTCTGCCTCGCTCTGAGTGGGCTGCGGAGCCCTCAGCTGCCTTTCCCAGCTGTGAGGTGGGAGGACCAGCACTTCCTGCCCCGTCCGCTCCTCTCCTTCAGGGACAAGGGGCAGCCAGTGACCCTCCCGGCTATAAATAGTCTGGGGAGCAGGTGGGGGCAGAAGCTTGGCTCAGAGCCTGACAAGACTATCCCCTCCACACACATCAGGGGGCCTGAGTGGACAAAGGCCAACCTGCTAGGAGACCGTTGCTATGGAAGCGCCCAGCTGACTGGCCTGTCCCCTCCAGGCCCCCTGACATGCCCCCAGCTGACCTTGAAGACATAAAAGGGCAAGAACTTACTCTAGTGAAAAGGTGGGGTGCAGAGGTGCTGGTGGGGCTCCTGGGCAGAAGGCTTGTGGCCAACACTCCTCTCCTGTAGGCCCAGCCCCTCTCCCAACCCCCCAGCTGGTCCCCCCCACCCGGGCTTAAACCATCCTCCAACCGCCTTCCCCAGGGGGCCCCATCTTGTGGTCTCCAGGTCTGACCAGGTCTGCTTCTGCCTGAATGCCAGACTTGGTTGCCATAGCATCTCCAGGGAGACGGAGATTATAATTAGATCTGCCTCCTGCTCTCCACTTGGAGGGCCCTGGCCAGGGCAAGAATCCTGGTTCTCCCAGCGCCCCCTCCAGGCAGGTGCGAGGGCTTCCCCATAACATGGGCCTCCAACCTCCCCGGGGCAGTCATCGGGGTGGGGTGCCCAGGAGTCTGGGGTGCTGTCTGCACCGCTCTTTGCTGTGCAGATGGTCTGGTGTATGCTCTGGGCGGAATGGGCCCGGACACAGCCCCCCAGGCCCAGGTTCGGGTGTACGAACCCCGCCAGGACTGCTGGCTCTCGCTGCCTTCTATGCCCACGCCCTGCTACGGAGCTTCCACTTTCCTGCACGGGAACAAGATCTATGTGCTGGGTAAGGACCTGGCTGTGGGAGAGGGGCCCGGAGTCCAGAGCCCCTACCCTGTGAGTGGCTAGAATCAGGCTGAGTTTGGGGGGCAGGACAAGGAGGCTTTGTTGGGGTGAGTCAGGCTTACTCCGAGGCTCCAACCCCTGGCCCTGCTGGAACTGGAAAACCAAACTCCAGTGACCGGCCCTGGCTGCACAGCGGGTGGTGGCAGGAGCGGGCAGCACCCAGGCTCAGCGACCTGGTGGGGGAGGCACCTGCTCGCACCCAGGCTCCCGCCCAGCGCCTGCTGCCACCACAGGGGGCCGCCAGGGCAAGCTCCCCGTGACTGCCTTTGAGGCCTTCGACCTGGAGGCCCGGACCTGGACCCGGCACCCAAGCCTGCCCAGCCGCCGGGCCTTTGCTGGCTGCGCCATGGCCGAAGGCAGCGTCTTCAGCCTGGGGGGCCTGCAGCAGCCTGGGCCCCACAACTTCTACTCACGCCCACATTTCGTCAACACTGTGGAAACGTTCGACCTGGAGCACGGTGAGCAGGGCCTGGGCGTCCTCCCGCGTGAAGGGCCTGTGGGGCAGCCCTGACCTCCCCTCCCCTCTCCTCCCCTGCAGGCTCCTGGACCAAGCTGCCCCGAAGCCTGCGCATGAGGGATAAGAGGGCTGACTTTGTGGTCGGCGCCCTGGGGGGCCACATTGTGGCTGTGGGGGGCCTTGGTGAGTGCAGGGCTGGGAGAGGAGGGCGCCCAGGGCAGGAAGGAGTGCCCTCCAGCGTGAGCACCACCTGCCGTCTCTGGGCTTGGGGCTTATGAGCTTCCCTTTCCAACGTGGGAGCCAGCAGGGCGGTCTGTGTGGGCCGGATCTGGGGTTTCCTCAGCTCCTGACTCAGTTGTGTGGCAGCGGGCCTCGGGGCCACTGCATGGCAGAGAGAGATAGGAACACGCACACGGGAGGATGTGGATGGGCACGGCAGCAAGGCCGACAGTCCATCCTGGGCGCCGCCTTCGGCCACACTCTGGGTTCAGGAGGAAAAGAGGGGGTGCCCCTGCAGCCTGTGCCCTTCCAACTGTGTCTCCTCCTGCAGGAAACCAGCCGTGCCCTCTGGGCTCCGCGGAGGGCTTCAGCCTTGCCCGGAGACGCTGGGAGGTGCTGCCTGCCATGCCCACAGCCCGCTGCTCCTGTTCCAGCCTGCAGGCTGGGCCCCGGCTGTTTGTCATCGGGGGTGTGGCGCAGGGCCCCAGCCAGGCCGTGGAGGCTCTGTGTCTGCGTGATGGGGTCTGAATGCCTGGAGGACCTTCCCCCGGGAGCAGCTCAGGGCCAGAGGCAGCTGCGGTGGCTCCCAGTGCTGCTGAGGGAGCTCTGTGGCTCCGAGGGATGCGGGAGGCAGGGCGTGGGCCCTGGGACAGGGCCTGGGCTGTAATACTGCCTCGGGATGGGGTGGGAGGCGTCATCCTTAACATAGGGTGTCCATACGCTTCCACCCCTCACCCTCATTCACTCATGGGCCAGGCCTTGCTCCACCCTGGCTCTGGCACCTACTGGGCCTTCTGTCCGACTGGGAAGCGGGGGAGGGGGAGCTGGCCTATGCCCTGCAGGATCAGGGCCTGCCTGGAGTTGACAGGCCTTCCCCAGTGACTATTCCTGCCTTGGAGGCCCCCGGAGGCTCAGAACTGGAGAGGGTGGGGGACATAGAGGGAATGGAAGAGGGAGTGCAGGGACCTCCAAAGGGTCAAAACGTTAGCTCTGGGCCCTCTACTCTGTCGGCCGTGAGACCTGGGCCAGTCATGTCACCTCTGTGCCTCAGCATCCTCACTAAACGGGGATCTCCGGGACCTTCCTGCCCGCCCACCTCACAGGGCTGTTGTGAGGACGCGGGGCGTTCAGATGTGGAAGTAAAAATGCTGCTAAAACCTGTGCGTGGCCCCGGTGGACTCCTCTGTCACCCGCAGCCCGTCCTCCTGGGGCCTCAGCTCTCCAAAGGACAAGGGTCCAGAAGAGCCTTTAGACCGGCCGCTGCCCCGGTGTCCTGGTGTCTCAGCCCTCCTAAGCCTCAGATTCTCCGTGGGGATCCAGGACGGCCGCTGTCCCCGCGGCCTGGATGGTGGGGGTCCTACAGGACGAGCAGACAAGAGCGCAGAAAACGACCGCACACCGTGCGGCCAGGGCACCTCCGGCCTGGGCCTCGGCGTCTCCCAAAGCCCTGCTGCCTGCAGAGGCCCGTGGGTGCGCAGCCGGTCTCCCTCCGTCGCGCTGCAGGAAGCGGTCTCCCAGGCAGGGCTGTGGCCACCCACCAGATCCTAGAGGTGAAGTCTCGCAGAGAAAGCCAAGCTGCTGGCCCTTGCCTCATCAGGCTGCGCTGCCCAATGGTTAGGGCCATGGGCTCTGGTTTTCTGTAGTCACTGTGTGAGGGGCTCACAGCTGGGTCTGCTACGAGAATGGATTTGGGGGTCTCAGAACCCATCTGCTGAGGCCATGGTAACCCTCCAGACCCTTAGCCTCCTGCTGGCTGTACCCCTTCCCACTCCCACTCAATGGCAGCACTCCCAAGGCAACACGGCACCTGCCCAGCACAGAGGCACCAGGCACCAGTGCCGTAGGCGCCAGGCGTAAGGCCTGGCAGAGTCTTGCTGCACTCCAGCCTCTGCGCCATTCTGGACTACAAGCACAGGCCAGGAGGCCTCAGTGTCAGCCATTCTTTTGTGTTCATTCTCACCGGAGGGTATTTCTCCATTGATTTTTAGAGAGAATGGAAGAGAAAGAGACACAGAGAGAAACATCAATGTGAAAGACACACATCAATTGGCTGCCTCCCACATGCACCCCAACTGGGACCAGGGATCAAGCCTGCAACTGAGGTGCATGCCCTTGAGGTACGTGCCATTGGCTGGAATCAAACCCACGACCCTTCGGTCCACAGGCTGACGCTTTACTCACTGAGCCAGCCGGCCAGGGCCTCAGCCATTGTTTAATGCTCTGGACCAATTGAGACACTCGGAGACCCCGGCGTGGAGGTAATGCTGCAGCGGTTTGGGCGTGGGGATCTTTGGGAGGTTAGTCGGCGGGCTGGGGCTGGGGACCTGGGGGTCCCCGCTGTCGCTGCCACAGAGGCCACTCTGGGACGGCTGGCAGAAGTTCTGCTGGTAGGTGGTACGGGTGCGGGGAGACTGGATCTGCACAAAGTGGACGAGGCGCTGAGGGGGGTCACTGGGTTCTGGGCTTAAGCGGAAGGTGGACTGGTAGGAGGATTCCAGGGGCCGCTGCTGGCACAGCTCCAGCTCGCTGGAGGCCCACTGCAGGAAGGTGTGCTTCTGACACAGGCGGGCCAAGTCTTTCCGCCTCCCGATGCCCTGCAGTAAGCAGTAGGGACCCTCCTCAGCGGTACGGGCCCTTGGCCCACAGTCCTGGCGTCAGGCTTTGCCTTGGTGCCCCCTAGAGCCCATTCCGCCCGGTGATGCCTGGCCCAAACCCCTGCATCCATTCCCAGTGAGGCTCCGAAAGGCAGCGGCCCTGGGCCACTTGCACAGTCAGGCAGGCTGGCAGGGGAACCCCTCCCGCACTCTCCCCTCCCTATCAGCTCCCGCTGGGGCCTCTTCCCAAGCACTCACTTTGTCGAAGGACGTGCGGTTGTCGTGCTTGGAGAAGAAGTGCTGCTGCACCGGCTCCTTGAGAGCGAGAGAAGGCAATGGGGGACGGGGCTCACTGCCCCACGCAGGTCCTCAGGACCCACCACCCCAACCTGCTAACCTGCTACCACCCCAAGGACAGGCACAGGTGAAAGCAATGCCTCCTCTGGGACGCCTCACCCTGGGACCTGGCCCAACACGGCGCCTCCAGGCCACCAGGAGGAAGGGCCGGGGCCTCAGCCAGGACCTCCTGCCCCCAGGGGGGTGGCTCAGGATTCACAGAGCCCTGATCACCCAGGATTAGGCATGGTTCTCTCCTCCCCTCTGTCCACACCTACTCCTCCAAGCTCCTGACCCTGCCCACCACCTGGACATTTTTCTCTCTAGCTCAAGCTCCTTCCTGAACTCCAGACTCAGCAGCTAGCCGTAGACATCTAATGCAGCGTCGCCAACCGGCAGTCCGTGATGTCCGAAAGGGTGGCAGCCGCTGGCCTAATGGGCATCTCACACACACGACTGAGCTCTGACTCATTCCCCAGGCCCACTCCTGCTCCATCCTCCCAGCTCAGGACTCAGTAGCTAGACCCAGCCAGCCACACAGAGACTCCTTGATTCCTCCTTTCACACCTTACATGGACGTGCCAGGAATGCTGGTGGTGTTTCCACATGCGCCCAGGCCCGGAGCAGCTCAGCATGGCCACGGCCTCCCCTGGTCCAAGCACCTTCCTCTCTCTGATTACTGCAAGAGCTTCACTCCTGGTGTCCCTGCCTCTGAGCTTGCTCCCCATCCACTGTCCTCTCGCAGGCAGAACAACTCTTAATGGGAGAGCCCTTTCACACCCTTGTTTGCCAAAGGCCCTCCTGTTTGTAAAAGCCAGGTCATCACAGTGGTCCGGGAGCCCCCAGGGCCCTCATCACTCTTCACCTGCAGCCAGCCGCGTCCTCCCTGTCCTCGGCACACCGGCCTCCAGCCTGTGCACCTCTCTTCCCGCCTGAGGTTCTCCTGGCCATGGCTCCTCCTCACCTTCCTCCTGGGGAGTCCTCCTCGAGCACGACCCCAGCAGTCCATCACCCAACTCTGCATTTCTCCCCTTCTCACATCTACAGGACTATATATTCTGGTTGCTCACTGCTTTCTCTCTGCCTTGCTCACATCTGTACCTCTGTCTCGAGAACAGTGCCTGGCCGAATGAAGTGCCTGGTCTGAGGCGTTCAGTCTTGGCTGGGTTGGGGAGTGAGCAAAGGCTCCTAAGTAAAAGGCAGGCTCCTAAGTAAAAGGCAGGGGTAGCTTCACCCCTGATCTCTGAACCAGAATGCTCAGGGGGAGCCGTGGTATGTGCCTTTGGCAAGCTCCTCCGCTGGGCCCTCCTTCTTAAACAGAACAAAAGCTTCAGGAAGGTGCGAAGCCAGCCAGCCCTACCTTTCATTCCTCATAACACAAGCTGACATCACAGGATTAAAAACCCAGGCCCTTTTAGAAAACAAACAAACAAAAAACAACAACAACAACAGGTATTTGCAGCCCACATATTTAATGAAGGACTGTGATACCTGGAACACATAAAGACTCTCACGTCTCCACAGTAAAATAACAAATTACCCAACTAGAAAACTGGCTAATGACATAAAGGCATTTCACCAAAGACGATATGCAAATGGCAAGTAACACGTGAAAAGTTCACCATCATTAAACATTCGAGAAATGAAAATTAACCACCATGTGATGTCACAGGACATCAATCATAATGACTAAAATTGAAGGTAGAGCGGTGACAAGCATTGGTGAGGATAGAGAGGACCTGGATCCCATACACACTGCTGGTGGGAATGTGGAAGCTACACCTACTCTGGAAATAGTGCGGCCATTTGTTCTTAAAACCAAACATACAACTCTATGACCCAGCAACTGCACGCCTGGGCATTTATCCCAAAGAAGTGAAAACCTGTGTTCACTCCAAAACCTGTACACAAAGTCACGGCAGCTTTGGTTGTAAGAACCAAAAACTGGAACCAGCCCAGATGGTCTGTAACAGGTGAAGAGTTAAACAGGCACATACATACCACAGTCTACCCCCAGTAAGAAAGGAATGATTCATCCATACACACACTGGGCGGATCTGCAGGAAATTCCGCCCAGTAAGAAAAACCAATCCCCGATAGTTCCATGCTCTATTATTCTAGTTAGATAACACTTTGAAGGGACAACATTTTAGAAACGGGGGAGATATTGGTGAATACCAGGGCTAGAGACAGGGAAGGTGGAGGAGTGGTAGACGGGTGTGGCCATGAAAGGGCAGCACCAGGGACCCTGGTGATGTATCTTGACTGTGATTTGGGTACACAAACCTACACAGGCAATAAAAAGTTCCAGATCTTCATTCCACACACAAGTCCAAGGGAAGCTGGGGAAGTGTGGCGAGAGGAGAATGCACTCATGCCGGTGCCCTGGCTGCCATGTTGCACTATCATTTTGCACAACATCGCCATTGGGGGAAACTGAGCCAAGTGAGGAAGGGATCTCATTATTTCTCATCACTATGTGTGTCTCTACAATCGTTCAATACAAATTGCAACTTAAAACCCTGGGAGCCTGGTAAGAATGTGTGTGTGTGTGTGTGTGTGTGTGTCTCCCACCCCCCCACCCCCGGCAGCTGAGAGTGTCTGCCCCAGGAGAATTTCACCTACATCTTTGTTCTAACCATCTAGGGCTCCTTTTCCAAGTGGTGAAAACCATGGTCTCTGAGCAGGTGGGCTCAGGGGCTCAGGCTGAGGTCTCCTGAGAGGGGCTGTGTTTGCCTGTGGGAGGCCACCAGTCTGCAGTCACCGGGTGCTGAGGGCAGACCTCTGAGGCTGCCTAAGGATGTGGGACAGGGACCCACAGTTACAGCACCACCAGCGGCCGGCCGGCCCCAGCCATGACCCAGGACTCCAATTACATTTCCCAAGAGTCAGGCAAGCAAAGGCTAGGAATAAGTCTGGTTTGGGAGAGCAGAACTGTCTTGCATCTGAATGGCCTGGATAAGATCCTGCACCCCACCGGAGAAGAGAGGGAGTGGGTGCTGCCAGTAGAGGCTGTAAGAGCAGCTGAGGGAGCCTGCAGACCCCACGCCTCTCACTGCGAGAGCGTTAACAGCCTCCCTGCGCAGCCCCATTAATGGACCCGCTTCCCACCTGGGAGCAGCTAGCGGCTTGGCATTCACACGACCTGAGCCCGTACGCAGGCCCGCTGCCGGGTCAGCTAGCCAAGTCTCCACTTCCACCAAGACGTGCCCTACCCTGGCCCTGGCGGACAGCTGAGCGGGTGCTCCAGTCTGGGGGCTCCCACACACACCCAGCAGGAAGCGTGGGCGGCTCTGTCCCCACACTACGCAGGCCCTGGACTCTGGCAGGGGAGGTGGCCCTGGCTCAGCAGGCAGTGCCCAGGAGCGCCAAGGAGGTGCCAGCTCTGCAGCATGGCAGCCTCCAGATCTGCTGGGGCTGAGTCAGAGGGCAGGTCCATTCGGACCAGGCTGGGCCCCTCCCCTGCTCCCAGTGCCTCCCTCTGGCCAGGAAGCCCTGGAAGAGAGGAAGGGAGGGGAGGAGAGGGGAAGAGGTGAGAGGAGAGGTGGGGAGGGGAGAGGTCTGCTTCCCTGCTCCCCTGGGGCCAGCCCCCACCTCTGCCCTGACTTCCAGAGGCCATGCCTTCCCTTCGGGCCCATCTACTAGACTATCTTCCGAGGCCCTCACCTCGCCCTCCATACTGCACTCTCCGAGCTCTGTCCCGAGGGGGCTTCTCCCTGTGGGGACCCCTCCTTGTCTCCGGCCTGGAAGCAGGAGGCCTGAGACCTGCACCCTCCCCCGTTTTCCGTTTTCCTCCCTGGGCTCTGGAGGTCCTGACCCTCCTCCCGCTGGGCAGGCAGGTCACCCGCAGAGGCTCCTCCAGGCCGCAGGTGTGGGGAGCAGGGTGTACCTTGCATCGCTGCAGGAACACCATGGGGGGCTGGGGCTTGGCCGCCAGGCGGTATTGGAGGGCGATCTCATTCTTGAACTGGCCTCGGTAGTGCCCATAGAAGCCATTGTTGTGCTGCAGCAAAGGCAGGCGTGAGGGCTAGCCCAGCCCACCCTCTGCAGAGCCTCGGACCCAGGGCCCCAGAGGCTCCAGGCCGCTGCCGAGGAGGAAGCATGGAGGTGGGGGCGCCCCAGGGGCTGCAGAGAGGAACCACGGGCGGCTGGCCCCGGAAGGGCCGTGGGGGGATCCGGCTTAGGCCGTAGGGCAAACGGGGTTCGGGCGGGACCCCGAGGGGCGGCGGGAGGACCCCTTACCCAGGAGCCCACGAGCGCACTCTGCATCCTTCCGGGGGGAGCCAGGGGCTTGCCGCAGTCCCCGAGCGGTCCCCGAGCTGCCCCGGGGCGGGCCGCCGTCGCCTGGTGACGCCTGTGACCGCACAAAGCGCGGGGGCGCCGCCTGGGCCCATTCCCCGGAGCAGCCGCCCTGACAGGGGCCCGTGGCCCAGGCCCCACTGGGGAGGCTCCCGGACCGGGTTCGAGTCCGGCCAGGCCACGTGCCGCCTGCGGGAGCCATTTCTGAAGGCGGCCCGCGCGGGCTCCCCGGCTCCAGCCCCAGGAGGGCAGCGGCGCTCTAACGGGCTTTGGCGGGAAGGGAAGTCCGGTGACGGGCGGAAAGCCAGGCCCTGGGAGCGGGCCGTTCCCTGCGCCCTGACCTCCCCCTGCGACGCCTCTCCGCGCCCGCCCGCCGCCGCGCTCCCGCCGCCGCGCCTCGGTGCATTGGCTGCACCCACCCGTCCCCTCACGGCTCCCTTTTTAGAGCGTTTTTATTGCTGCCACAGCGGGAGGAGGACAGCGACGCTGAGAGTCCCGGACCGGCCGCGCCCCCCCCTGACCCCCCCACACAGACACACACACACACACACACACACACACACGCGCGCGCGCGCGCGCGCGCGCCAGGCACAGCCCGCACGCGGCACTTGCCCTGAGCGGGAGGGAACCCGGGCTCCTGGAGCCACGCGGCGGCCGTCCCCTCCCCGCTACTCCCCCGCCCGGCGCCCACGGCCCCCGCGGGACCCCGCCCTGGCCCCGGGCGCCCTCCCCTCCGCAGGTGCTCTGTGGCCCCGCGGCAGCCGCACGGGCGCCGGGGCGGGCGGGCGGGCGGGCGCGGGGCGCAGCTGGGGGGCCGCCTCACGAGGTGCCGGGGGCTGGGGCGCGTGCGTGGACCGGGCCAGGATCCGGCCGTTAAAACCGTTAAAACCGTTGGGACTCTTAGTCACGTGCTGCAGCAGGGCCGGGCCCAGAGAGCGGGAGCGCTCCCCATTGGTCAGGGCGGCCCTGGGGGCGGGGCCGCGCATGCCCGGTGGGCTTCCCCGGGCGGGGGACGGGGGGCTTTAGGAGCCAGAGCAGGGGGCCCAGGCGGCACGGCCTCAGGAGCGGCGGCGGCAGGGGTTCGGGCGGCTCCTGGGGCGCGGGGAGGAGAGAGGAGAAAGGAGGGGGCACAGGTGGGAGCCGAGGGAGTTCCCAGGGGCCTGAGGTGGGGGGAGTTTCCAGGACTCAGGGTTCCTCGCTGGAGCGCGCCTCGCCGTTCCTGGCCCCGCTCCTTCCACCGAACGCGATGGCGCAGCTCCTCCGGGAGCCCGCTCACTGCCGCCCCCGCCCCAGCCGGCGGGGTGAGCCGCACAGGGCTCTGCGTTGGTCGGGCCGGAGCACGAAGCGGCAGGACAGGAGGGACCCGGGCTGCGGGAGGCGGGCGGCCTGGTGAGGCCCGAGGGCCATGGCTGAGGGCAGGAGCGGAGCGGAGAGTTCGTGCCCGCCCCTCACTGAGGCCTCGGGTTCTCCGCGTTGAAGACTTGAGGGCGGTCAGATTGGAGGTCAGGTTGGGGCTCTGCGCCCTGAGGCCCCCTTCAGCCCCGTGTTCTCCCCTGCCCTCCACCGTGCCAGGCCCTTCCTGTGGAAATGGCCGCCGCCTTTTCCCTTTAATGTTCGATTGATTCAGAGAGGAAGAAGATGGAGACGTGAGGGAGTCATGGATGGGCTGCCTCCTGCCCCGCCCTCCCGGCGGTGCCCTGACCAAACCCTCGGTGCCTGAGCGACATGGCGGCGTCCTTCACTCACACCTTCACTTGGGTGCTTCCTTCATAGGATTGCGGGGGGGTGGGGGGGGGCTGGAAACCTGCCGAGGGGTGCCTTCCCGTTCCCATTCACCTAGGGCGGCCATTGCCCTCCCTAAGCCCTCCTCACGGGGCCCGGAGGTCACCAGCGTGAGGACACGTCACAGGCAGCAGAGGACAGACAGGCTGAGCACATGGGCTCAGTCCCGGGATAACCACGGGGTTCCTTCTCCCGCACTGAAGAAACCCCCTAAGAATAAGTCCACGTTGCCTGGCTGGTGTTGCTCAGTGGACTGTGCGCTCTCTGTGTATCAAGAGGTCGCTGGTTCCATTCTGGTCGGGGCACATGCCTGGGTTTGGGGCTCCATACCCAGTAGAGGACCCATCAATGATGTTTCTATCCACCCCCACCACCCCTAAAAACAAAGCTTTTTTTTTTTTAAGACAAGAAAGCTAAAAACCTTAAATAAAAAGGAAGTTAGATCTGGAATTAGGGGAGCAGTATTCTAAACCCAAAGCCACATGCTATAGAAATTACTCTCCCATCAGCATAGAAGTGGAAGTCAAGAGGATTTGTCTTGTAGATTAAGTATAATGGCCTTAAATAATGGTCTTGTGATGATGTATATAAAATTGTCTATATCCTAAATCTAGACACTAGGAGGAGGAATTTCTGCTAATGCGGATAAAGGAAAAAATTTGGCTGTCAAAGAAATAAGTAAACCTGAGTCAGAAATCCAATATTTACTTAAATTCACCTTCTTTCTTAAAATAAGTAGTAACTCTGTGATGATCTAAGGACCTGAAATATTATAATTAGAAGACAATCATGTATTTTTAAATCTGTGGATACTTGGAAAGTTTTGCTCCATTGCCTATATTTTCTCTAATGTCACAGTAGATATTTTCTGAGTACCTATTAGGTGCCAGGCACAATTTCTAGATTCTGGGAATATAGAAGTGAACAAAAAATCCTGTTTCAAAGTGGTTAACATTATAAAACAAGATAAATTAATAAAATATATAGTGTATTAGGATAGTGATGTACTGTGGAGGAAAAGCAAGGCAGAGATACAATGATGGGTGGGGTACAATTTTGAATAAATAATGGAGAGAACACCTAATGGTGGGAGGCCTGTGATGTCTGTGCGGGGAGAGGAGGGAACAGGGAATGAAGTTGGCATGTGCCCAGCAAGGGGGGCAGCAGTGAGAAGCCCCATGAGAGGTGTAAATAGAGTGCAGGTGAGAGGCAAAGCTAAGGGAGCCTGCAGGGAACACTGAAGACAATCGGAATGCTGGCTTGCGTATGAGGAGGGTGAAGCAGTAGAGCAAAGGGGCAATCTGACTTAAGGTTCCAATGAGTGCTTTATAGAGAAGAGAATATGAAGGGGAAATCAGGGAAACCAGTTTGGAGGCCACTGCAGTCATCCAAGCTGGTGGCAGTAGAGTAGGGGTGTCAGGTTTAGTAAATAAAAATATAGGCCACCAGTTTGGTAAAGTATAATACATGATTGTCTAACCACTGTGCTGTACACCTGGAACATACAAAATTACATTGAATGTAAATTGTAATTGAAAAAAATTAAAAATATAAGAACCTAGTTAAATTTGAATTTCAGGTAAACAAGTATGTATATTATACTAGTGGCCCAGTGAACGAATTTGTGCACATTGAAAGGAAATTTAGAATATTTTTATCGCTAGTCACCCTTTTTCTATAATAGAAGTGTCTATTCATGATCAACAATTCATGATCGACAATGACAATGACAGATGGAAACGTGTACAATTGGTGCCAGCGAGAGCTTTATATGTATTGCACATGAGCAAGTCAACTTAGCCTTTTATAGATATAGAACAAACTTGCTTAATTAGGCCTACTTTCTGATGTAGCTACACTTTTTCCAGCCAGTGAAGCACCCCAACTTTTCTTTCAGGTAACTGTCAGCAACACAGCAGTAAATATCAACACAAAGCACATTATTATTGTAGATCACTCAGGGAGAACAAAGGGTAAAATATTTAACTGCAGCAGTGTTTGACTATATTCTGTGCAGTGAGAAAACCTGAAGTCATTTTCAAGGTCCATCATTTATTTTCAGTCGGGTCAAGTTTCTAAGCTAAATCTCCGTTTTCCGGCTAATGAAAAGAAAACAGGATTCCACCAGTCTCCTATGTACCTACTCCAGGACTTCTGTGAGGATCAAATGAGATGAGGCACGGAAAATGCTTCACAGACATTTGGTTACAGGGTGAAATGTTTGCACCTGGCTACAGAGCAAGTCGTGTTCCTGGGCTGAAGAAACTGCAAGGAGGCTAGTTGCCAGGGAAAGAAATCCGGAGTGTTGCTATGTGAGGTCATTACCTGGATGGAGGGAAGGACACGGCATAGTAGCCTAAAAAGGACAGATCCTTTTTAAATTAAAAAAATTTTGTTAACCCTCACCTGAGGATATTTTTCCATTGCTTTTCAGAGAGTAGAAAGAAGGGGGAAGCAGGTGGGAGAGAGAGAAACATGAGAGATACATCAATTGATTGCCTCTAAGCAGGTATGTACCCTTGACTGGAATCGAACTCAAGACTCTTCAGTCCAAGGGCTGATGTGCTAACAGCCAAACCAGCTAGGGCTCTTCTCATTTTTAATCAGTTTAGGGTTGGTGGGTTTTTTTTTTGGTTTTTTTTTGGGGGGGGGTATTGATTTGCACATTCCCTGTTAGGGATCAAGTTGCAACCCGGGTATGTGCACTTGACCGGAAATGAACTTGGGACCCTTTAGTCCACAGGCCAACACTATCCACTGAGCCAACCCAGCTAAGGCTATATAAGTTCTTTATACATTTTGGATATTAAACTTTTATAAGTGATTTACAAATATTTTCTCCCATTCTGTAGATTGCCTTTTCATTTTGTAATGTCTCCTCTTTCATTTATAAATTTGAGGATAAAAATGCCTGCCTCACAAAATCATTAACCTTTATCTTGCAATGTATCTGGTGCTGTGTCTGGCACATAGTTGATCCTGTGGTGTATACTTCACATTCTTGCAAAAGTTATTATAAACATCCAAATTTGTGTTTTTCTAGAAGATTAGGAAACTTCAATGTAACATTTCTCTAAAGAAGGTTAAATTATATAAAAAGTATACTAAATGTCTATTTATTCAGAATTTGTTTTGTTTTATTCAGATATATGTGTAGGAATCTATGGTAATATGTAATGATACATATAAATGTTCTGTGAGATCAGAGAGACAAAATTTAGAAATCGGGCTTGTTTCATGAACTCTAGGCTGTACGACTATCATAATGAACTTATGATAGTGTGGAAAGG